CCTAGCCCCGATCATTTGTTGAGCTCTTGGCCCAGGAAGGCGAAGTTATCGATTTATTTTATGTTTCAATATTATCGCTAGGTATTCGTTGGATCTTCGGCACAACATTTGATCGCAGTATATTCTCCATTTAATTTGCAGTCTGACTTTTGCATTATTTTTTCGAGCTCTTGCAGAATGTTTATGGCTGACTGGCGTTTTACGCAGGCAACATTACGTCATAAGCGAACCTTAGATTGTCGAATTATTCAACAGTAATATTAGTCCCGCCCTTCTCATTTTTTCCTCCGGAACATCAGTTTTAAATAAGCAGTGAAGTGTGCGAGGGAAACGGAGCATTGTTTCAAGCCGGTTTCAAGGGAATCCGGAAAGGGTGTCGAAAGGCGTGATGTTTGTTGAGCAATCAGAGTTTCCTTCCTTAAGCAGGTCAATGTAACCGGTGTCGATGTCCTGTTTCTCCAGTACATCATGCACTGTACTCCTGTGTTCGACAGCGCAGAACTGTTTCTCGCTAGTTGCCAGAAGAACTATGCCCAGAGAGAGCTGGCCTGGCGTACTCGAGGAGTTGACTTCAGGTATGGATGTTATTTGTTGTGCTGTAGCTCCTTCAGGGTCCTGCATGTTCTCTCGATTACCGTTATTTCAGAATTGTTGACAGACTATTGTCGATGATCTGATAGAACAGCGCATAGATTTAGGCAATGGTTCATTGGATCTTCCTTCATGATGGAATATTTTCTGTTTTCAGGTAGCAATTGGACTTCTCCGCTAGTGCCCTCCAGAGCTCTCATCAATGATTATTTCAGTTGTTAGACCTTCTCTCCTTGGTTTTTCTCTTCCTTTTTTCATGCTTGTCATGCCGAACTGCGCCTATGAGAATCGCGGGTGCAGTTCCTCTTGGATGCTGAAGTGATGGTGGGAGGGGGGATGTGTGTCTTTGACTCAAAGCCGTAGATGCAGACCTTCTTGCAAATAGGCTGCATCACGTTAATCTGCAATCCCCGTTCTTCAACGCTGTAATGGTCGAGTGATTATTCTATCTCTCCTGCATTGTCTGAGAGTTTTATCGTCTTCAAATGCTTCCCCCCAATTTTCAGAATGGGAAGGTATCGAAGTTATTCATCTTCAGCTTCTGTTTAATGAGTTCGCAAAGAGGAGAGTACTCACCATATCGGTCCCATCTCTCTTCACCCTCCTTCGTATCTAGGAGAACCCTTCATCTCTTTTGAAATCCATTCTTTCCCGCTGCTTGATGTTACCGCATCGGCTGACCGTTTGCATCGCCTTAGTTTCTCGGCGAAATGTTGCAGCTGTCTTCCATGCTTCAGTCTCCTTGGAAATGCGCCCCCAGCGCTCCCCATGTCGAATACCTGTGGTCGTTGTGTGCGATTTGTCATCTGCAATGCCTCGTTCTCGATCTTCTCCTCGAAGGTTAGCCTGACCCGCACCAGTCCATGGTAAATGCCGGTATTGATGACGGACTGCTGCGATGTCTCAGAAAATGCAGTGTTCATCGAACAGGACAAAATCGATCTGGATCTTCGTCGTTGCACTAGGCGTGATCCATGTCCACCTCCTGTTGGTCTCCTTTTTGAACCAGGTACTGCCAAGTGCATGCGTTTTTTTTCTGCCATGATCACCGGCCAATTTCCTTGATCAATCCATTCTGACCCCTACTCTTAAACTTTTTCACCGACCCTTCCTCATCCAACCTTGTCATTGAAGTCGCCTGTGATGAGGGTTTATGTGGACTTTGAGACCAATGCCTGTTACAGTGCTTGATAAAAATTTTCTACTTCCTCTTCATCAACTGTACTTGTAGGGGCATAGGTTTAAATACATTGTCAGGGTCTCTTCTTGCTCAGTGTTGGTGACTTCGCATGGCAGGAGAAGATTGTAGGGAACCAGGTTTGCTGACTACAAAGCTGATTTGCCCTATGTTCTTTGCGCCCCATACTCTTTAAAGTCGTATCGAACTATCGCAGCCTCAGATGTCATTCTTCCCCTTCCGCTCCCATGTCTCGCTGAGGCCAAGGATGTCATCCATTAGTTCGTTTAACGTTTCTTCCCTTGCCAGTGTTCTACAGTAGCATTTGCAAACGGCGATGGTAGTCCAGATCCATTTACCAGATGACAGTCTTTTACGTGGAATTCGTAGCAGCCTTTAATCAGTATAATACCCAACCATCGCGGTGGAACGGGTCGACTAAGGCGCGTGTACTAAACCTCATTTATTCGTATTGCCATGACGCATTACTATTTGTCATCTGCTGGCAGTTGGTACCTCAATTCCGCCCAGTTTTTTTTTTTATCGAAATTGTTTCTTCTAGCTTTTGATGAACTGACGTCTAACCGAAAGGCAGTGCATCATTGGAGCCTTGAGATGAGACTGTCACATGCTCCTGTGACTTCGGAGGATCGAACTTGTCCAACTCGAACCCGACCGCACCCTAGTAGTTTGACCGATGCCTGTCCGTGGCTGCTTAATTATTAAAGCTAACCTTTATATCTGGAGACCGTTTTTCCATGTGGAACCTGAGGAAACGCCAGATAGCTAGCAGCTAGGTACGCTGGTGGAGATACTTAGAGAGCGCATTTTAAATGAAAGTACTCATACAGTTACGGAGGGGTTGTAGCAACGATTTCATCGCTAAAACGGGCAAAGCTGTTAGGGAATGTGATATCTGACCAGCAGGTCAAGATCTTGAACAGCTGTGATACTTCTTGACCGATTCGTATATGCAGTTTTTCGTAGGGATATGGAATGGGTTAAAAGCAGTGATAGCACGGTGGCTATCTCTCCTGAACAATGACCTAAGAGATACTTGGTACCTGCCAAAGTATCTTTCTGGCCACCCTATTTAGGAAATGCTAAGAACTGGCAAGGTGAAAACTTCAGACGTATCGCGAATGCATCTCTTTTGTCGCCATATTTTTTGGAATCTTTGAAAAGCTCAACGTTGCATGAGATTCGCCATGTCTGTTAATCTAAACATTTTGCATCTTGATGTTAGAAGTATTCTAACGCACCTAATAAGAAAAGATTCTTAGTCAACAAGAGATTTTAGTTTATTTTCTTTGGCATGTGATGTAATGGCCACTGCCTTTCGTTGGCCACATTTCGATTTCCTTGAAGGCTGATGACGAGCTAGCATGGCATGGCTTCCGCCTCTGTAGATGATTGAGTCAAGCCGCCCTGAGCTGTTCGGATGTTTCTTTGATGTCAGCCAATGCAAGAACGCACCCATTCTTTACTCGATCGTACCGTCGAATCCTCAGCATGCTTCGTACTCGTCGGTTAGGTACAGTTCATTTGTAGTTGTTGTACGCTTTCACCGACAGCCTTTTCTACCCGTGCAGCAATATCGGCTTAACGGTATGACAGTAACGTCGGATCTTGGTGGAGATCAGATCTGTTTCACGCCTTCCGGACAGTTCAGAGCATGGTAGCACAGCGACGGCTGCCGAAGATTAACGCGAAGTGGATGAAAATGTCATGTTTAAGCCACGTCGTTTAAGGCCAAGTCTAAAGACATTTCTAAGGCCAAGTTCAAGGCCGATTCTCAAGCCACATTTGAGGATATATCTAAGGCAAAGGTAAGAACAAGTTCTTTTCTGAATATAAGACTAACTTTAAGGCTAAGATAAGGCAAAATTTAACGCAAATACTAAGGACAAATTCAGGGCATGGTCTAAGGCCAAGTCTAAGGTTCTGAACGGAGGATACTCGCAAGCGAAGCCATTTTTACACATCTGATAAGAT